TTTTGGTCACGTCGGCATTTGGGAATCTTCTCTGTCCTTTCCGTTAAAACGTCTGCCATATTCTGTAATTAGAAAAATTCATCCTAATCCTAGTTTTGTTTAAATCAGGTCAAGTAATTTGTCCATGCTTTTTTTAATTCAATTCCAACCAAGTCACTTTATACCTGTTCCAGATTCATATTAGTGGAAATAGGTAAACCTGGACGCCTACCAAGAAAACAACATCTAGGTTATAGATTATGTGAAAGAAAATTGTTTTTTATCTAAAAGTATTGAATTGCCGGGGTATGGATTTCTTGGTTTTCGCTTAACCAGGAGAAAGTTGATAAGATTTTGTTTCATCCTGTGCAGTACATGCAAAGAAATTTGGGTTTCGATAAATCTTTTGATTTATAATTGTTGAGCCTAATTCCAATTCGAGTGAAAGTACTTGATGAAGAGACGGTGAGTTTGCTTTGCTCCTTAGCTTAAATATGGCTGTAAGGATGATGCCCTGCTCTGATGATGTCCTGGATACGACAAATGCAAGATTAGCACGTTTTAACCAGAATTAAAGGAGATTGCCTTGGAAATAGCGTCGACAATAATGTTTCAGAAAAAACCAAGCAAGAGCTGGTCAAGAGGAAACCGTCGTTATCATCTGGTAGGATCGACCTGCAAATCTCTTCATCGAGCACTTCAATCGAAGTGGGATTAAGCTAAACAATAAAAGGATAAGAGATTCTTCGAAACTCAATTTTACCTCGTTTAGGATTTAGGGGCCCAAGCTGAGGCAGGACTGATGTCGCGTAATGCCAAAGACAGACTCAGTTCAATTGGTGAGACCAATATACGCGTTTGGCGAATATGACCAATTGAGTCACCATCTTTTGTCACTGGCTTAACAGTCCTTCCCTCCATAAGAAAATATATATTTGGAATAAGTAGAATTTACTCAAATTCCTGCCTCCACTGCTCACATCTGATGTATTCCCATTTCTAGTAATTCTAATGGCAGTAATGCTTTGATCAGCAAACTGATAATAGTACAGTTTCGCTGGCAACAAACTCATTTTACAGAGGATAGTTATGTCACTATCGTGGATTGGGCTCGTAGCCAAGAAAGCAGATCGAAGAACAACTCCAAGCGTTTCAACACACCATTCATGGCTACGCGATGCTTTACAAAAGTTTACATTCACATTAGTTTAGCCTTTGCTTATTTCCCATCAGAAAAGAAGTTTCACATTTTTGATAAGTGGTCATCTCACTAACCGCTTACTCATCCCACCCTTAGACGGGTAATATACCCTAGAAACATGATTCTAAACTGAGTTTTAACCAATGAACGAGCTCCTTCTAATATATACGAAAACCTACTTCAAGTCTCTAACCAAGCCTTTTTAGCTCTGACCAAGATGAGTGCTGAAAATATTGAAAATCCCAATAGTGATTAAAGCCTTTTGTTATTCTTTCTTCTTTATTCGACTTTAATATGAATTAATATTTTGGAAAATATTTGCTTGTATTTGTCACTGTTTTGCTCAATACCCCCTTTCAGATACGCTACTTTCTCCGGGACCCTAGCAAGGAATTCCAGTTAAACGCAGATACCGGGGAACTGACTGTGCGCGGCCCTTCC